AGTTTGTAACCTCATTGTGCTAGGTTATAGGTTAACAAATGATGAAAATGGTAAGCTAGTTGATGACAAAAACTACAAGCAAATGATGGAGATCTTGATGTATCTACTTGCTACTAGGCTCATCTTGCATATTCTGTTTTCCTGGTGGCAAGGTATATAGAGTTACCCGCTGAAGCTCACTTGGTAGCAACAAAAAGGATCCTGAGGTATTTGAAAGGAACTGCAAATATGAGAATTCTGTACAAAATAAATGATGAAGCAATGTTGTAAGGGTGGTCACAATTTGATTATGCAAGAGATAATGATGATAGAAAGAGTACCACAAGATATTTCTTCAAGGTTGGATCAAGCCTCATATCATGATCCTCAAAGAAGTAACCCATATTAACATTATCAAGCACTGAAGTAGAGTTTAATGCAGTAGCCTCATGTGTTTGTCAAGGATTATGGATTCGAAGCATCCTTCAACACCTTGGCTAAGATCAAAATCAAAGCACAGTCATACAATGTGACAATAATTCCACAATCAAGTTGTCAAAGAATCATGTCATGCATGAAAGATGCAAACACATAAACGTTAGATTTCATTTTCTTATTAATTTACTAAAGATGGAAAGATTGAAATGACTTATTGCAACACAGGAGAACAACTTATTGTAACATATTCCTAGACATTGTTCTGATGTTGGAATATCAGAATTACCATGTGTTTATGAACTCGAGAAATTTCACATACCATGAAGAAAACAATGTAGAAAGTTCAAGTAAGCTTAATGCAACTGATGGAGAAAGCAACTCACAAAGGCAAGATGAAGGTAAGTCGACAGTAAAACAAATAAGAAAATAAAGATACTTATAGGATTATGTAACCAACACAGAAGAAGAAGAAGAAGAAGAGAAACTACACAATTTAGTAGTGGTTTGTGCTATCAGTAATCCTCTCAATTATGATGAAGCAGTTAAACATGAGAAGTGGAGACAAGCTATGGTTAAGGAAATTCAATGCATAGAAGAGAATAAAACTTGGAATCTGGTTAATTTTCCATCAGGAGCAAAGAAAATTGGTGTCAAATGGATCTTCAAGACTAAATGAAATGAAAAAGAGGAAGTAGAGAAGTATAAAGCAAGACTTGTAGCCAAATGATACTCACAACAACATGGAATCAACTATAATGAATTGTTTTCTCCTATGTAAAGATAGGATAACATTAGAACTATACTAGCACTTGCAGCATGCAAAAATTTGAAAGTGTATTAACTTGATGTCAAGAGCTCTTTTCTACATGTTGAGTTGATGGAAGATGTTTAGTAAAACAACAACCTGGCTATGAGAAGGGAGAAAGTTATAAAGTTTAAAAACTCAAGAAACCACTTTATAGCCTTAGACATGCACCAAGGGTATGATATAAAAAAAGTTGAAGCCTTCTTTAATCAAGAAAAGTTTTAGAAATGCTCTCATGAACATACATTGTTTGTAAGGCATAGTGAGGATAAGATTTTGATAGTCATCCTATATGTGGATGATCTAATATACACAGACAATAATGAAAAGATGTTTGAAGGTTTCAAAGAATCTATGAAGAAGATATTTGCTATGGCTGATATGGGGATGATGAGATACTTTCTAGGGATGGAAGTGAAACAAGAAAGTAAAGGAATATTCATATGCCAACAAAAATATGCCAACAAAAATATGCCAATGAGATTCTTACAAGATTTGGCAATGGACCAATGCAACAAAGTTTGTAACCTCATTGTGCTAGGTTATAGGTTAACAAATGATGAAAATGGTAAGCTAGTTGATGACAAAAACTACAAGCAAATGATGGAGATCTTGATGTATCTACTTGCTACTAGGCTCATCTTGCATATTCTGTTTTCCTGGTGGCAAGGTATATAGAGTTACCCGCTGAAGCTCACTTGGTAGCAACAAAAAGGATCCTGAGGTATTTGAAAGGAACTGCAAATATGAGAATTCTGTACAAAATAAATGATGAAGCAATGTTGTAAGGGTGGTCACAATTTGATTATGCAAGAGATAATGATGATAGAAAGAGTACCACAAGATATTTCTTCAAGGTTGGATCAAGCCTCATATCATGATCCTCAAAGAAGTAACCCATATTAACATTATCAAGCACTGAAGTAGAGTTTAATGCAGTAGCCTCATGTGTTTGTCAAGGATTATGGATTCGAAGCATCCTTCAACACCTTGGCTAAGATCAAAATCAAAGCACAGTCATACAATGTGACAATAATTCCACAATCAAGTTGTCAAAGAATCATGTCATGCATGAAAGATGCAAACACATAAACGTTAGATTTCATTTTCTTATTAATTTACTAAAGATGGAAAGATTGAAATGACTTATTGCAACACAGGAGAACAACTTATTGTAACATATTCCTAGACATTGTTCTGATGTTGGAATATCAGAATTACCATGTGTTTATGAACTCGAGAAATTTCACATACCATGAAGAAAACAATGTAGAAAGTTCAAGTAAGCTTAATGCAACTGATGGAGAAAGCAACTCACAAAGGCAAGATGAAGGTAAGTCGACAGTAAAACAAATAAGAAAATAAAGATACTTATAGGATTATGTAACCAACACAGAAGAAGAAGAAGAAGAAGAGAAACTACACAATTTAGTAGTGGTTTGTGCTATCAGTAATCCTCTCAATTATGATGAAGCAGTTAAACATGAGAAGTGGAGACAAGCTATGGTTAAGGAAATTCAATGCATAGAAGAGAATAAAACTTGGAATCTGGTTAATTTTCCATCAGGAGCAAAGAAAATTGGTGTCAAATGGATCTTCAAGACTAAATGAAATGAAAAAGAGGAAGTAGAGAAGTATAAAGCAAGACTTGTAGCCAAATGATACTCACAACAACATGGAATCAACTATAATGAATTGTTTTCTCCTATGTAAAGATAGGATAACATTAGAACTATACTAGCACTTGCAGCATGCAAAAATTTGAAAGTGTATTAACTTGATGTCAAGAGCTCTTTTCTATATGTTGAGTTGATGGAAGATGTTTAGTAAAACAACCACCTGGCTATGAGAAGGGAGAAAGTTATAAAGTTTACAAACTCAAGAAACCACTTTATAGCCTTAGACATGCACCAAGGGTATGATATAAAAAAAGTTGAAGCCTTCTTTAATCAAGAAAAGTTTTAGAAATGCTCTCATGAACATACATTGTTTGTAAGGCATAGTGAGGATAAGATTTTGATAGTCATCCTATATGTGGATGATCTAATATACACAGACAATAATGAAAAGATGTTTGAAGGTTTCAAAGAATCTATGAAGAAGATATTTGCTATGGCTGATATGGGGATGATGAGATACTTTCTAGGGGTGGAAGTGAAACAAGAAAGTAAAGGAATATTCATATGCCAACAAAAATATGCCAACAAAAATATGCCAATGAGATTCTTACAAGATTTGGCAATGGACCAATGCAACAAAGTTTGTAACCTCATTGTGCTAGGTTATAGGTTAACAAATGATGAAAATGGTAAGCTAGTTGATGACAAAAACTACAAGCAAATGATGGGGATCTTGATGTATCTACTTGCTACTAGGCTCATCTTGCATATTCTGTTTTCCTGGTGGCAAGGTATATAGAGTTACCCGCTGAAGCTCACTTGGTAGCAACAAAAAGGATCCTGAGGTATTTGAAAGGAACTGTAAATATGAGAATTCTGTACAAAATAAATGATGAAGCAATGTTGTAAGGGTGGTCACAATTTGATTATGCAAGAGATAATGATGATAGAAAGAGTACCACAAGATATGTCTTCAAGGTTGGATCAAGCCTCATATCATGATCCTCAAAGAAGTAACCCATATTAACATTATCAAGCACTGAAGTAGAGTTTAATGCAGTAGCCTCATGTGTTTGTCAAGGATTATGGATTCGAAGCATCCTTCAACACCTTGGCTAAGATCAAAATCAAAGCATAGTCATACAATGTGACAATAATTCCACAATCAAGTTGTCAAAGAATCATGTCATGCATGAAAGATGCAAACACATAAACGTTAGATTTCATTTTCTTATTAATTTACTAAAGATGGAAAGATTGAAATGACTTATTGCAACACAGGAGAACAACTTGCAGATGTGCTGACAAAACCTTTAAAACTCGAGTCCTTCAATTACATTAGAACAAGACTTGGTGTTTGTGCAATTTCTGGAAATTTCAGCTTTTGAATATTTCGGCCTCTGAAAAATTGTGTAGCTTCTGAAAGTTCCAGCTTCTTGTGCGGCTTCTGAAAGCTTATGCAGTTTCAACATGTTCGAGTTCATGTAAGTATAGTGTATTGATCCAATAAATATATTATAATCTTAGTTTTTGATGTTTTCAGATTAAGGGAGTGAATATGATTAGGCATTAGTCTAACTAACTTTAAATTAATTTTGTGTAATTACTTGTTATATAAGTAATTTCTCTCATTATATGAAAAAAGAAACTATAATTAAGTATGAACTTTTCCCACATTCTTAACATTTAGTTGCTTCATTAAACTTTTTCTTCCTTCTATAGCTCACCAAACATTTTTTTTTTTTATATATATTAATCTGGAACGATGTAGATTTATTGGTGACATCCATAAATTAAATTTTTAGAGGTATTGAGCAAATTAAAATAGTAAATTTGCAAGGAAAAACGTGTTTTCTTTAAATTCAAAATAGATTCCATAATTTTGTTGAAATTCTAAAATGTAATTTTTAGTAAAATCACAATAGTTCCTTGAAAACGCGAATCCAAACATACACATAACACCTGAACCGAACCAGAAAAACAACAAAATCTCGAACTCACCAATGCTCCATGATTATATAAGACGTTTGCTATCAAAAAGGGAACAACCAATAAACCATTCTCCTATGTTTAATGTTTGGTTTCAAAAAGTAATAAGAATGAAAAACTAACACCACAATCTGATTCGTCAACTTAATTTCAACTTCTCTCAAACCTTCTCAGCTTAGTTTTGCAGATATTATCCCTTGAATGGATCCAATGAGAGTGAAAGCTCCCACCACAAAGCCAACAGTGCTAAAAGTCCTAAGCCAAATCCACTTGCTTGTCCATGGTTCAATGTTACACTGACTAATATACATTTCCACTGGGAAATATATGGTTAATGGATAGTATATTATGCCTGCCAAAACTCCCAAAATCTGGTTGAAGTATGGAAACAGCATCGCAATCACAGTCGTCGTCACGACATAAAATGTTCGGAAACATAGCCTTAGTGGACTTAGTTGAAAATTTGGTAGCAATGGGAGTTTCAAGTCGTGCGTGTAATTCACAAATCCACTATCCGGGAATCTAAATCGTAACCAGTTCTCAACATTCGCGTAAAGTGGCTGGCTATACACCTGTATACCAAAAACAAAAACACGTCTCGTAAGTCTAACGCTTTATCAATGATTCATTATATATGAGTCTAACGAAATGTGTACGAGAAAACGTTAGAGACAACAAACACATATTCAGATCATGTATTGTCTGATGTGAGAATCTTATTAGATAACTTATGTTCATTTATTTTAGGGGCGAAAAGAAGAGGCGGTGTACCTGGTATGCACCAACTAGGTGAATAACTATACAAGCATTGGCGAAGTCTACTAGCCAATAAAGCTTGTAAGTTGCAAAGCCTGTTAAAAGATTTCCCGGTGTATCATTACCAAAAGCGGCATAACCAGCACAGCCGCAGCACAGGTAAAACAATGTTGTGATGATAACCGATATTGTTGATGCCCTCCTCATGGTTACGTTTTCCGCTGGAGGCGATTTCAAAGTGTCCTATAAAATATGAAAAGAAAATTATATTAGACTTTTAAGGATTTGTGCAGTTAAATTATTGATATCTAAGATCACGCGTACCTGAATTTCTATAAGAATTACTGAGAATGGATAAGCGAAGGCTGTGTCACCAAGTGCTTGCGCAACCAGCCATACTTTTTCCATTCCAGTCAAAGTTGGCACACCTCTAATGTTACCCTTAAAATGTCCGTTTTCTGAGCACATGATTACCACAAACTTATACACGTGATAAATAGTCTAAAACATTGCGTGAATCACAATTCTAGTCTACGAAATTTGAAATTGAAAACCCTGATCACATTAGTCTTTTTGGATCGGTTAATTTGATAGGAGATTTTCATTTTCACGATCATTTTGAAATCTAGTTAGATATCATAATGAGATATTGGTAAGATAGTAAGAATACCGGTGATTTTATCAGTGGCGAGTCCCATTCCAATGAAAGCATAAGCAAAGGACATTATTGCTGCAACAATAGAAAGCCATTCAATGTTACGAAAATTCGGAATCTGCGACAGAACAACTTGAATAACCCCGAAAACAAGCATGTTATATGTATCCTTCACATAACATGTTCCTTCATTCCCTTTGCTATGGTAACATGCTGATTCCTGGATCGACCTGCAACCACAAACACACACATAAACATCGAAATCAATAGAACTATTATAGATTCTTCGGCAACATTAGTTTACTGAAATTTTGTTAACAGATTCATAAGTTGTGTGAGAAGTTGAAGAACAGAACATACCTTATGCTGATGGAAGCTGTAATGATGTAGGCAATTCCAAAACCATATAAGCATATATTTACAAAAACACTGCAGAGACGCCCATTTCCTTCTCCTGTAACCACAAATAAGGATCATGTGTTAATGATCTTGCGACACATTTAATTAAAATATATATCTTGGAAATCAAACATGTTATTAGATGTAGGACTTTTAAAAAACCACCAACCTATCCGAATTGAACTTAAAATAACCGAACTATTATATTTAATTAGTGGATTGAACCTGTCTTGTACAAACATTTCTAAAATTGAAAATAAATAAAAAATGTTAAAAACAAGTTTAGAATATTTTATAAAAATATATATATAATAATCCGATTCCTTAACAAATCGTTCAATTTAAAAAGACTTTCTTCTAATAATTTAATACGGTTTGGATTTTCAAACTAATATATCAAACCCAAACTAATATATCAAACCGATGATTTTAATTCGGTTCGATTCTAGTTATTTTTTACTATAATTCCGACTAAAATACAAAATGAACAACCCTAGTTACATGAACTCCCTCACTTCATGAATATTAACATTTGATGACTATCTCTAATGTGTATAGTAATGTTTGTGCATTATAAACAAACAAAATCCAAAGGTTTATGCATAGTAATATTTTGTATCATAGTCATAAATTTTAAATTTATATCAAATCACATAAATCGATACCAACAACCAAGCTCCGGCCCGCTAAGTGGGTGGAGTCGATTTCATGGATTAATTTTTGTCATAATATTCTATCTAGAACTATACTTTTAACTAAATTGTTAATATCAAGATTTTTTTAATAATTTTTCTTATAGTCATTCTCGATCTTTCTCTTTTTCTAATTATTTGACTTTTTTTCAATTTAATCTATTCTCCTTACCACAAAATATATAAATCTTCTCTCTATATGATCAAACAACCTATATCTATTTTCCACTCTCTTCTTTCATATAGATTTTACCCCAACCCTCTTTTTAAAATTTTCATTTCTCAAAATTATAAAAAATATAGTTTCGTAAAACTGGTAAAAATAAAAAACAATTCAAAAAGCAATTGTGAAATAGCATAAAACAACAAATCCATAATAGTGAGTTGTAGTACTTATCTTTTTACCATACTAAGTAATATCATTCTATTTCTCTAATTTTGATTTTTGTTTTTTTCTTCAGTTTTTTAATTCTGTAAAAAAAAACAATTAATTTATTGGATTAGAGATACTGAGCTATATATTAATATTACTACATAATACATCTATTAAAAAATAAATACAATTAATAATTTAGCTTGAAGCTTAAATCATGACACGTAATGAGTAAACGAGTTACACGTATATTAATTAAAAGTAGTGATTATTAATTAATGAATTAAAAATAGTTTGTTATGCAATAATTTGATGTGACTTTGTATGGAGAAGAGAAAGGTAAGGGTGAAGAGTAATGAACAAGATACACGTGCTAGCTTTTAGAATGTTATAGTTGCCGTGATACAATAAAAAACTTTATGTAACCTTTTAATTCGTCCAAATCAATCGTCACATTTTTGGTTACTTTATGATCATTAAAATAAATGTAATAAGAGTTTTGTAATAGAATGAAAAGTAAAAGTAAAAGAAAAACTAACCCTTGTGCAAATTAACAGCATCAAGGTAAGAAGAACTTCGAAGAGGACCAGATTCAGGATCAGGAGAACGATAAGTATCACTGAGAAGAAAAGCAGAAAGAAGAGTAACACAAGCGAACAAAAGAATCGCTAATGGTCCAGCAATCCATCCAATCTGTGCAATACTCCATGCCAACGACAACACTCCTGACCCTATCACTCCTGTCACTATGTGCGCCACTGCCGTCCACACTGTCCCTGTTCTCAATCATCATCATCATTAACAAAATTCACACACACATTTGATTCAGATATAGAAATTACGAATAAGAAATATACCCGTTCTTTTAACATGATACTGCTCCTCAAATTTGGATTGCAGTAACGGAGTACTGCTGCCACTGCCACCAGAAAGACGTTCCTCGCTCATGATCTTCGTTACGTAAAATTCGATTGTAAGAAACTTGATGGAGTGAAATGGATATATATAGATGAATCGGATTTTGATTTTTCCTTTTACAGAGAAAAGGGATCGGATTTGGGTTTTGAAAGATAAAATCAAATACCTTAACGCCAGAAGCTTATTTTATACTCACACTAATAATACATGTCATCAAAGTCACGTTTTTTATTTTGTATTGTATTATTTTTGTGATTTTTTTATACAATTTTTTATTTTATTTTATACAAGTATGATTTTAAATAACATTGTAATAATGGTAAAATACAAATTTATATTTGTTGATAGATTTTTAGTATTTGCTATTATTGAAATAAATTATTTCAACGAATTAATTAATTAGATCTAACAGGATTGGCGGAATTTTTACATGACAAATCACATTTTGAAACTTGACTCAAAGAAATGTTTAAATATTTTAAATTTCTTAAATAGCATTATCTTTGATTGAATCTATTCAAAATTAATACTAATAAAATATTATGAAAGGCATTATCACTAATAATGTTAAAGAGAGTAAATTTATCTTAAAATATTCTCTCACATATATTAATTAGTGATCACTAAAAATATCACTTTCAATGTAAATAAAGGGTGAGATAAGGCGAACCTTTTTCACCTTTACTTTTTTTCTAATTAAAGATATGTTCAAGACAGGTTTCACTAAATTTGTTTTAGAGAATAAAATCAACCTCATCAATGTTTATAAAAATCAAAAGGATACACTTTATACGGAAGAAATCATGGTTTTATCCATAGGCAATATGCCTTTAATAGATGCTACCAACCAAGGTATGTTGATGCACACATTAATGGTTTACTCATGGCTTATTTAACTCTTAAAATAGGTGAACATTAATGGTTTACTCATGGCTTATTTAACTCTTAAAATAGGTGGATAAATGGTGGAGGAATTTTATTTGAAGTTGGGACACTTAAAAAATGAAGCTTGTGTAGTTGTTTGAAAAAAGTGTCGCCTAGACTTGGCTTTTGGTGGCTTAAATTTGAGGTCTCTTTCTCACATTAATGAGGCCTCTAACGTGCTTCAAATCTGGAACATGGCCAATTCCAATTACTATTGAGCCATCATTCTTAAAGCAAGAGTTCATAGTAATGGTGGACACATTAAACACCATATTCATTATTCTGTTTGGAGTGGCTTGAAAAATGCCATAACTGAATTTAAAGACAACACTAAATGGCGCATATGCAAGAGAAATAAAGTAAATTTTTTATTGGACAATTGGTGTGGCATATTCCTGGCAGACCATTTGCATATTCCAAATAGACAAAACCTTAAAACCATGTTGAGCACATACATTCAAGACTACAAATTGTCTCTTCCATCTAACTTGGTAACTGTTTTTCCAAACATTCCTTCTTTGATAAAGGATATCATTATCTCCAAAGAAGGTGATGATTGTATGGTATGGAGTCCTGGTGATGATGGTCATCTCTAAAGAAGGTGACTATTGTCACCAAGTTGCAAACTAATTAGGAAAATTAATCTAAAATAAAACTATTCCTCGGTGACATTTAACTGAAAGATGAGTATATACGACCTATTTGCTACTCACCTTACTTGGTTTTTTTTCCCTTTTAGACCTAGAACTCCCAAAAGCATCTTGCCCTGGAGAGTTAGATACACATGGCCTTTAAGTGTAGACTCCATTGACATACTTCTTTAGGTGGCCTTATTGGATTAGGCGCTCTATCTCTTTCTTAAGTTGATAGAAGTTTTCAGTGTGGTGCCCTTTGACTTTGTTTAACTTGCACCATCTGCTAGGCTCAGGCCCCATGACACCTGACTTTAGAATTGAGGTTGTGGGATGTCGTGCATGTGGAGGAGTTCTCGCTATATCTTCTTAGGGCAAGTGTTTAGAGGCGAGAAGTTCTCCACAGGTTTTCCGCTTTATTTCAATGCCGTCTTGTATCCGATGGGCGAGGCATAGTAATTCTTCTACGACTGCTATTAGCCATTTGGATTATAGGTGCGTTCTTCATGTCTCTGGACTTATTTTCAACATTGATTTCCTCACACTTTATATAACATTTTGAACGTGTCACTACCTCAGCCAAGGAAACCGTTGACCTCTAGGAAAGGGATTCATTAAAATGTTCCTCCTTGAGCCCGCTTTGAAATACTCCTATGATTATTTCTAAGTTGGGGTGGACAGCCTTGATTATATACTCATTAAAACGAGCGAGATACTCCCTCATATATTTGGAGTGGCCTTGGAAAATGTTGAAAATCATGGTGGTGACTATCTTTCTGTGCCTCCTTGCTGTAAATTGGTGATGGAGAGTCGAGGCATATCCATGTACCATCTTAGGGTCGTATCACTGAAGGTACCAAAGAGGAGCTTGCATTTCAAGGAATCATGATTTCCACATGTGTGTTAATGGAGGTGACATGTTCATAAAATTCCATGCACCCATAAAACTTAACCAATGAAGGCGGCTTGAAGTTCTCTGGATTTGACACCTCATATATTTCATCTGAGAGAGGTCAGGGGTCCAATATCTCTACCTCTTTCGTATAGTCAACCTCCTTCTAGAGATGTTGGATATGGAGGACGTTATTTTTCAAAGTTTTGTTTTGGCGACGTAGGTCTTCCATGGAAGTGCATATCTCTACCATGGTGTTTTCCTCGTCGTCAGACTCATCGGTGGTCGGAGTTTCTATCTTCTTTTTCACCATGATGGACTAAGAGGTTGGACGTGAGGACATCATTCTGACTGAGAGTTGTAATAGTGGCCTAAGTCAGTTTTATCAGACTCTATGGTGGACACCAATTACACTTGCTAAAAGTAAAATACGTGACAATCCCTAGTGATTAAGATATGTCATATTTATTTTAGGGTTTAACACTAGCTCGCGTAGGGAGTGAGAAGCTCTGTGTATGCGGTATTTGTGTAAAGTCATATTAGTCCTCTCCACCTCGAGGTTGAGATACTTATAAAAGTCTTTGGGTCTGGATCTCATATCTCCAAGAAGTAACAACCACTTCTTGAGGGCATGGAAATAGGATAGTTAATTCCTTATTATTTAGGAGAGCATGATTAACTTTCCCCTGACTCATTCTCCCCACCAATTAAGACTTGTGACCTCCTACATTCCCATGCTTTAGACAAGTTATCCAAAAAATGAGCAACATAGTCGAGAAATGGGTGTTACATTAAATAAACGAGTGATCAATCTAATAAATGGGCAATCAAGACGCAGTTTAGGCGATACATTATTTCCCTTCCCACGTCTCCCTTTGTTTACAAGTCTCTCGTATATTTACAAGTCATCATTGTTAGAATAATAATGTAAGTGTGAGTAAGTGGAGACTAGAAATAGTCCCACATTGGGTAGGAATATGGAGACTTGAGCATATATAAGTGAGAGAACTCACTCACTTAAAACCTTAAAGTTTTAGGTAGACAAGTGGTGTGTCTCTCATAAAGGTGTATAATCCTCAACTTTGTATCAATGATCCTAATAACTCCCCTCAACAAATAGTATCATAGCCTGGTTCGATCTAGGGACCGAATTAGTATTGAAATGCCTAAAAATAGGTATCTTGTTGCAAGGTGTCAATGGTGGTACAAGTCTCGTTGCAAGGTGTCAACGACGATACAAGTGGAAGAGCACTATGGACTCACACTTGAGAAGGAGTGTTAGAATAATAATACAAGTGTGAGTAAGTGGGGAAATATTCTCATATTAGAAATGAATATGGAGACTTGAGCATATATAAGTGGGAGAACCCACTCACCTATCACCTTAAGATTTTAGGTGGACAAGTGGTGTGTCTCTCACAATGGTGCCTAGTCCTACACTACGTATCAATGCTCCTAGTGAACTGCTTCAACAAATGGCATCATGAGTCATTGGTTTGAGAAAGGGACCGACTTAGTATCAAAATGCCCAAGAAGAAGTGTCTCGTTGAAAGGTGTCAACGGTGGTACATGTGGGGGAGCATTGTGGACTTATACTTGAGGAGGTGTTAGAATAATAATGCAAGTGTGAGTAAGTGGAGAAATACTCTCACGTTGTATAGGAATATGGAGACTTGAGCATATATAAGTGGGAGAATCCACTCACCTATCACCTTAAGATTTTAGGTGGACAAGTGGTGTGTCTTTCACAAAAGTACATAATCTTCAATTTTATATCAATGCTTTCTAGTGAACTCCCCCAACAATCATAAAAATCTTTATGGAACTTTAAAAATAAAAATAAAAATAAGATGTCATTAAAAAGTTGACACATCATCAATTTTCAGTGAAAATTGTAAAAAGAAGATAAAAAAAATATGTAGACATTTAAAGAAAAAAAGTTACATTTCAGTAAAAAATAGACATCTCATTATTTTCAATGCAAAAACTTAAGAAGGGATAAAACAATTAGAATTTAAAATATGAGAATTAATTTTGTAAATAAAGTAAAATCGGAGGACTAAAACTATAACTAAGCCTTAAATTTTTATTTAAATATCAAAATGAATATTATATAAATCATTTTCAATATAAATAATTTTTTAAGAAATTAAAACAAACTCATAGACAAAAATCAAATACCAAAATACTTATTCGATTATGAAAAACAAATATTTAACATACCACTATTATATTATACTTTTCTTATCTAGTTGTTTGTACTTGCGAAAATGTACATATGTGTGGCACCCCTATGCTGGTAGGGTGGCGAGAGGCTTTTATAATTTGTGGTGGTTTAGGGAAAACTCGCAGTGGTGAGGTGTTGTTTTAAGGTGGTTTATGTAAGTTGAGAGCAAGATTACGAGGGTGAGAAGCTTTGTATTTTAGGAGTATTTAGTGGTGAAATCATAATGTCTTTTTCAACCCCAAGGTTGATGTATTTGTATAGTTATATGGGCCAGGTTTTAGGGTTTCTTGGATATTTGCAACCGCCCACCAAATATTGATAGTGGACCGTTGAATCCATATTTCCTAAGGAGACA